TGTCATACAGATGGAGAGTGCAGACATTTGCTCGGCACTGTTTGGCGTTTTGCTGAGTCGGACATTTTTCCTGCAGCTGTTTTTAACCTCGTTTTATTTTCCTGCAGTTAATCCTCAGATTAAAAAACCAGCAGCAGCTTTCAGCCTCGTTCACCTCACACACTCCACTTAATGAGGCACGAGCTGAACTAAACTACGCATTTAAGTTTGATGGACGAGGTTGTTGAGAAATAGTCCATTTGTGTTATTGGCGGTCGTGTTTCTGTGTTGAACCTCGGCCCAGCTTCGTGCAAACATCATGAAACCGTCATTTTAAAGCCGTGTGACTTCCATCTGAGCAGCTGGGAACACTTTTCAGGCTTTTTGCATTAAATTTCTCAAGTTTCAGTTTGTTTCATATAAATTTTCACAGTCAGACGTCCTGCCACCAGTCTGTCTGAGACGCTGCCCCCTGCTGACAGTAAAGCGCTACGACGCGTAGACCTCTGTGTGCAGAGCTGCGTGGAGTGTTTTTGTGTCAGAGACAGAGACAGTAAACCAAACATGACATCAAATGTTTCATTAAATAAACAAACGTCTCACACACCGCCGTCCTGAGGTCATGCTCGATGAAGCTCGCTGCAGAGCGAGCTCACAGCTCGACAGCAACAAAGAAACAGGAAGTCAGTGGCTATCTTGTGATATTATTGAAGGATAACGTGTGGCGTGGTTGCTCGGGTCACCTGACAGCAGCGGCTCGACTCAGCGCTGCAGCTGCTTCTCCTCTGGTTGCTGCTGCCTGCAGAGGTGATGGTTGAACTTCTGTCCACGCAGCAACACGCACAGCTCGACCCGACCGAGCCGCAGGCTGACTGCAGGCGGCTCCCGCAGGGCGACGAGCGACACGTTTCCACGGCGCTCTCCTTTGCTCCGTGCTCTGCGTGGAGAACAAAGCGGTTTTGGTTGCACATCCTCTCGTGCTCCACTTCCAGCTTTATGCGGTTACTTTCCTTTAAACCAAACCACGGCGGTCACATGACGCAGGTCAGCTGATGGAGAGGTCAGCTGACCGTGTCCCACTGCTGTTGCAGCGGCGCATTAAACTCATCCTGACAGCTGATGTTTGTTTCTCAGGATGATTAACAAAACAAACAGATTTGATTAGACCAGCATCACCTGCCTCCACCTCCTCCTGTCCCAGCATGCTCCTCTGTTACACCGCCCTCTGCGTGGCCTCCTCCACTGCTCCATCTTCTCCCCCCTCCTCCCTCCTCTGCACATGCTCAGACCATCTCCGCCTCTGTGGCTCTGACCATCTGAACACCTTCATCTTTTGCCTCACTTTCCTTCATCTTCTCTCCAGAGCACGCCTCCACCTCTGCAGGCTCTCCTCCGCCCGCTCTCGCTGCAGATCGCAGTGTTGTCTGCAGACGTCACCTGTCTGTTCGTCAGCGCTGCAGACAGGAAGCAGCTCGGAGCAGATCCCACCCCCACCCGTCACTCCTGCTCCACACCTCGGTCCTCATGTCCTGCACCACCCTCACGTACTTCCTCATGCAGTACCACTTCCTCTCTCTGCAGCCAATCATCTGCTTCCTTAAGCATCACATGTTACCGTCATGTTTGCTTTAACTAATTCTGCAGATTTCTTGCAGACCTTCAGTTTCAGACGTTCGCCTGCTTGAACCACTCATTTTATTTTTAATGAAACTTTTCATTTCGTGCTCAGTTTATTCTGACTGAGCGTCACTTGTACTTCCTGTCTGTGTCGGCTGCAGCTCGGCTGTTAAACTGAACCGTTGGTTCTATTTTCTCCAGATTAGTTGAGCTAATCTGCCCACGTGCAGCTCGGATCCTGAAGGATTACAACCTGGAGCGTTTGTATTCCTGCTCGAGCTCCAGCGGCGTGCAGGATAACAGCGTTCAGGTGGAAATGAGCAGGATGTGGATTTAAATTCTGCTCGCCGCCGCCTGTTGTTGGCTTCGGTGTAAATGGAAGAATTCACACGTCGCTCTGCTCGCGTTCAAACGTCTGAGGAGTGAAATGGAAACAGCCGGCCTGCTGCTGGGAGCTTTCCCAGCACGAGCTGGAGGAGCTCGCCGTTTTCCTCCTTGGCCTCGCGCCACGGCTTCTGCTGGGCGTGGACGAATTCAGACGCAGTCAAAAACTTTATTGTTCCAGCAGAAACTCACATCGAGCCGCAGCGAGCGAGGAATCCAGACACGAAGATCACAGCCGAAGCTTCGTGTGCTCCCCGCTCACGAGTCCAGGCGCCTTCACATGC